CCTGACACCCCCAGCTGCTGCATCCTTCATCCACACGGTTTGGGGCACATCTCCCTCATGCTTTCACATTCAGGGCCCTTCCAGGAGCAGCTTGTGAGATGCAGAGCTGTGTTCCGTGTCAGGTACAAACAGGCGACATGCGTGCTTGTGATTGCGAAATGTGTGGACCCCGACAATGGGAGAGCTGTGAATTCTAATAATAACTGAGGAAAATAAAGCATGGAAAAAGGCCTTTGAACCTATCTTTTGTTTGCAATTAACCCTGATTGATTTAGGAGCATTGTTAAGGATGTTGCTTTTTGCTTGCATTTAATCCATAAAAAGCTCTGCAATAATAATCTTTTGAAGTATGATTTTAGAATATTACTTGTATCCTTGAAACTATAGCTTTGGAATATATACAAAGGAAATATGCTTATCTCAGGCCTTATTGAAGCAGAGAAAAACAGCTTGAGAAAGGAAGATGAACATCACCTCAAGGGTTTATGGTTTGGACCAAAGGGAAGCTGGACATCACTGTTACTAGATTTATAGTCTCGGCAATTAAAAGGTGGACACACATCTGGGGAGCTGGACCGCACATGATGGGATTCGTCTTTCTTCTTTTGGAAACCGGACCGTCACCACCTGGGGATACTCCTTTGAGATACATCCTGAGAAATTAAAATCACAATAGTGTATAGATTTGTGATGTAATAATTTGGAATAAAAATTGCTGATGAGTAAAAGATTGGAAATAGAAACTGCTGAAAAAAGCTGATGAGTACCCCTATAAATACCTGTAACCCTCAATTATCGGTGCGCAGCTGGAGGGAAAACTTCCCCCACTCTACCCAGCGCTGTATTGCTCATACTTTAACCATATTAAATAATAAATTGATTGCTGCTTGAATATTGGCCTAGTCAAGCTTCTTGTTCATAACAAGCTCAGCATCCCAGGGCACATCCCTGCTCCCCAGGCCCTGTTCCTCACCCCACACTTGCTCTCCCAGGCCCAGGAGCTGCTTTTGGCACGGGCTGAGCACCGTGGGAGGGATGGGGGCAGCCGTGGGTGGCTGAGGCACAGCTGGGATGCTCCAGGGAGGTCCAGGCACAAGTTGGCTTTGTCCTTGCATTTCCCATCCCAGCCCCTTTTTGTCCCAGCCCGCTGTCCCTGTGTCCCTCAAACGCCACCTGCCTGGCCAGGCTTTAAAGCACCATTTGTACAAATGCCACCCTGGCTCTGTTTGTTCTCACTCCTTCCTTTTTTATGTGTCCTAAGTCATCTCGGCCCTTCCCAGAGCACAAACCTGCCAGTTCCTGAAATCTCAAATCTCAGTAATTCATAACATTATTGTTATGAATAAGAAGCTTGACTAAGCCAATATTCAAGCAGCAATCAATTTATTATTTAATATGGGTAAAGTATGAGCAATGCAGCGCTGGGTACAGTGGGGGAAGTTTCCCCTCCAACTGCACACCAATAATTGATGGTTACAGGTATTTATAAGGGTATTTATCAGCTTTTTCAGCAGTTTCTATTTCAAATTTTTTTGCTCATCAGCAATTTTTATTCCAAATTATTACATCATGATTCTATACACTATTGTAATTTTAATTTCTCAGGATGTATCTCAAAAGGAGGATCCCAGATGGTGGTGGTCCAGTTTCCCTTTGGTCCAAACCATAAACCCTTGAGGTGATGTTCATCTTCCCTTCTCAAGCTGTTTTTCTCTGCTTCAATAAGGCCTGAGATAAGCATATTTCCTTTATATATATTCCGAAGCTACAGTTTCAAGGATACAAGTAATATTCTAAAATTATACTTCAAAAGGTTATTATTGCAGAGCTCTTTATGGATTAAATGCAGGCAAAAAGCAACATCCTTAACACCTTAATTCCAATGCTCCTAAATCAACTAGGGTTAATTGCAAACAGAAGATAGATTCAAAGGCCTTTTTCCATGCTTTATTTTCCTCAGTTATTATTAGAATTCACAGCTCTCCCATTGTCGGGGTCCACACATTTCGCAATCACAAGCACGCATGTCACCTGTTTGTACCTGACACGGAACACAACTTTGTATTTCACAGACAGATAAAGGTGTCATCACTGAAATTCCATTGCTGGGTCCTGACTGAAAGGCCAGGCAGACAATTGGAGCATTTTTCCCTCACTGTCCCCTGGCAGGGATGATAATCACAAGCTGCCTGTGCCCATCGCATTCCCTCCTCCTCCTCCTGCACTACATTTCACCTTCAATTCCAAAATATAATGGAAGGCTCCTGGGCAGGACTGGGGCTGTGTCCCCATTTATTGTCCTCATGTCTGGGTTCCTGTGCCCCACAGCCGATGTAGATTGGGGCAGAGCAGGGCCAGAGCTCTCCCTGCTCACATCAGATCCCCCCTCCCATCTTTAGGCAGATCCTCGCCTAAACCCGACTTTATTGTCATTGCCGCGCACTTTGATGTTTTCCTTGCAGCCCTGGAATCCCGGCCTTTATTTTTCCACCCGAGGGAACGGCTGCTGCCTCCCCCTTGGCCCGCCACAACTTTTTGAACCCTCTGCTGGATTCCAGGCAGGCGTGATGGAGGGGCAGAGATGGCAGAGATACAGAACCCGATGGAAGGGCAGAGATGGCTGAGATACAGAACCTGACAGGGCAGGGGTCCCGGGGGGCATTGAGGGTGTAAATCCTCCTGCTTTGGAACCCTCTGTGAGCAGCAAAACCGCGCAGAAAAAAGGCAAAATACTTTAATTTTGCATCCCCCAGGTTGTGCTTTGCCTCCTGCCGGGGGTCAGCCCCGCGCCCCCGGCCCACCCTCGGACAGCTCCTGCAAATGACCCTCTAATGACGGGCTGGTGGCGGTGTGAAAGCTCTCGGGATATGGAAGCGGCCCCGGGGAGGGCTCGCTGAGCTGGGGGAGCTGCAGACACGCTTTGTTTATCCGCCGCCCGGGATGTGGATTGGGGATAATCAGCCCGGGCTGGGATGTGGAATGGGGGCTGGTGTCCCAGGAGGGGCGGGCTGGGGATGGCCCAGGGCCAGCGGGGCCACCAGGGCCACCAGGGACACCAGGGACACCAGGGCCACCAGGGACACCAGGGACACCAGGGACAGCAGGGTTTGGGTTCCCGCCCGTCCCCTCTGCTGTCCGGGGGTCCCCAGGCCTGAGTCGTGTCCCTGTCCAGCTGTGAGGTCTCAGGGGTCTCGGGGCTGCCAAACCGGGTCAAACCCGGATTGATCCATTCAGCCAAACCCGGACTGATCAATTTGGCCAAACCCGGACTAATTCCCCCTCCCTGGGGCTGCCAAACCCGGACTGATCAATTTGACCAAACCTGGATTGATCAGTTCGGTCAAACCCGGACTAATTCCCCCTCCCGGGGCTGCCAAACCGGGCCAAACCCGGCCAAACCCGGACTGATCAATTTGGCCAAACCCGGATTGATCAATTCAGTCAAACCCAGACTAATTCCCCCTCCTGGGACTGCCAAACCGGGCCAAACCTGGACTGATCAATTCGGCCAAACCAGGCCAAACCCGGACTGATCAATTTGGCCAAACCTGGACTGATCCCTGCTGTCCAGGGCTGCCAAACCAGGCCAAACCTGGACTGATCTGTTTGGCCAAACAGAGACTGATCCCCTATACCCAGGGCTGCCAAACCCGGGCTGATTCCCCATCCCGGGGCTGCCAGACCCAGCCAAACTTGGACTGATCAGTTTGGCCAAACCCGGGTTGATCTCCCCTCCCTGGGGCTGCCAAACCCGGCCAAACCCAGCCAAACCCGGACTGACCCATTCGGCCAAACCTGGACTGATGAATTCGGTCAAATCCGGGCGGATTCCCCCTCTCCGGGGCCGCCAAACCTGGACAGATCAATTTGGTCAAACCCGGATTGATCCCCTCTCCCCCGGGCTGTCAAACCCGGTCAAACCCGGACTGATCCCCCGTATCCTGAGTTGCCAAACCTTGCCAAACCCGGACTGATCCATTCTGCCAAACCCGGACTGATCCGTTTGGCCAAACCCGGACTGTTCCCCCTCCCCGGGGCTGCCGTGCAGGAGGACACGCTCACCCCGGGACCCCGACATCGCCCCCAGCCCCAGCATCATCCCCAGGACCCCTCTGGATGGTGCCTGCACCACACGGCTCCGAATTCCCTGCTCCTACAGGGCACGACCCTTCCCTTATCTCCGAGGGGTAAATAAAGCAGGAAAATCCCTTCAGCCTCCCCTTCCACCCTGCAGGTGCCTCCTTGAGCACCCCAACAGCTTCGTGCTTATCTCAGGTGAGATTTGGAGCTTTGCAGCCTCTCTTGAACCCCTCACTCTGGTGGTTCCAGAGCTCACCTGCTCTCAGAGCAGGGAGGAGCTGTGGGTATAAAAGATGGGACACAAAGAAGGGGACACTCACACCCTGGCACGCCATCAACAGCAAAAACCAGCAGAACCCAATGGGCATTTTTAATAGATATAATTTATTGGTGAATTGTACAGATGCGACCTTTTCACTACCAGCCCTTCCAATGAGGGGGAAAAGGCTCGAGCAGAGCTGTGGTTATTTGTTTGTAACATCTGCCCAGCTGGATCTGCCAGCTGGGGCTCTGGATGCTGGCAAATACACTCACCTGTCTGAGTTGTCGTAGAAATGTGACAGTTTTAACAGAAATATAATAAAATTATTGGAAGAAACGCTTAAACCCCAGGGGAAATTGAACACCCCAGCGGTGTGTATGCTCAGCATGGCCAGACCCTGGAGCTGCAGGCTCCTGAGAACCTCTGGCTCCTGGTGATTCCCATGGCTGGGAAAAGCAGCTGTGCCATGGCAGGGAGCTGTGCCAGCCCTGCCTCTGTCCCACACAGGGCACCCTCCAGCCCCTTGGCAAACACTGGGTGCAGCCTCAGGGAGGTGCCTGGTGGCCTTTCCATGTAGAGCCTGGGTCCAGCCAGGCACTGTGGGCTTGCAGAACTGCCGGGCACCTTCTCCCCCCCAGCTCCTGTGCCAGCTTCAGGGACACCCTGCTGCTCCGTGCAGTGCTCCTGGGTCCTTGGGGCACTCCTGTGCACCTTCCTGGCCGTGCCTCAGTTGCAGCCACACTCCTCGACGATCATGTCCTCGTGGTGGCGGACCACGACCTCGCCCCTCTCGTAGTAGAGCATGGAGAGGGGGCTCATCTTCACCGGGGAGCAGGCGGGGCACGGCACCAGGTTGGGCTTGTAGAGCTGCAGCAGACTCTGTGGGAGACACGGGAAGGGCAGAACATCCCCCTGATGGGGTGTGGGGGTGAGGGGGATGCGGGGGCAGCACCCTCTTACCTGGATGTAGGCGTGGTTGGTGGGTTTGAACGTCTCATCCACGGGCGAGGGGCACAGCCCCTCGCAGCGATAGGCGTTGTACTTCTTGGGGTACACGATCCAGCTGCCCCAGCCCGTCTGCTCGAAATCCACCATCATGTCCACCCTGCGGCACAGCGGCCGGCCCTGCTGCCGGCCCTGCTCCCGCGGGGCGCCGCCTCTGATGCGCTGTCTGTCCGTCCTGGTCCTGCGCTGCCGCCGCGGCCCCGCGCCCCTCCAGCCGCTCTCCCGCATGATGTACTTGGATGTCTCGGCCGTCCTGATGAGGCTGTGCTCGCCCGGAGACTTGTCCTTGGAGAAGACGAGCAGCAGCACGCTGTCTGCCGCGTCCCCGGTGCTGTCGGTGTCTCCCGGTGCGGCGGGAGCGGCGGAGCCGTTCACATCCCACCGGCTCTGCTGCCCGGCGGGCACGGCTTGGTGCAGCCAGCGCCGCAGCAGGTCGGTGACCTCAAAGACTTTCCAGGAGGCCTGGCTGGCAGAGGGGGTGCCAACCACGGTGCCCAGGAAGAGCTGGTGGGGGCAAGCCCCGCCCGGGCGGCACCGGCGGCGCTGGCTGTGGTAGATGTCCAGGGAGGCGTTGTGGGCGCGGGAGAGGCCGGACAGACGGACACGGAGCTGGGCCAGACTGACCTCCTGGCTGCTGGACAGCGAGGACATGTCGAAGGAGAGCGACCAGCGGGAGCCGTTGTGCAGGGAGCCTGAAAGGCAAGGGAATGGTGAGGGGAGAGGTGCCAGGGGTGCCAGAGCTGGGGGGGACGGGGAACAGCCCCGCTATGAGACCCTGAGGGTGGGGAGAAATCAGCTGGATCCACCTGAGAGGCACCAGAGCCTCGGGCAGGGCTGGGATGCCCGGGACAGGGGGAACCGGGGACAGGGATGCACGGGGACAGCGCTGGTCCCGGGACAGGGACAGCGGCAATTCTGGGAGGAGGGATGGTGCTGATCCCGGGGACGGGCTCGCCCGGGAACGGTGCCGGTCCCGGGACAGGGATGCTCGGGGACGGCGGCAATCCCGGGAAGAGGGACGGTGCTGATCCCGGGGACAGGGTCTGATCCCGGGGACATCAGCACCGGGAACGGCGCCGATTCTGGGAATAGTGCAGGTCCCAGGACAGGGATGCTCAGGGACGGTGCTGATCCCGGGGACAGGGAGGCTCGGGGACAGCGGCCATCCCGCCAAGAGGGACGGTGCTACTTGGGACAGGGTCACCCGGGAACGGTGCTGGTCCAGGGAATAGTGCGGGTCCCGGGACAGGGATGCTCGGGGACGGTGCCGGTCCCGGGACAGGGAGGGTCAAGGACGGTACCGATCCCGGGACAGGGATGCCCGCGGCCCCACTCACCGTGCGGGGAGAGGCTGAGAGCGGCGGCGGCGGCGGCGCGGAGCGGGGCGGGAGGGGCGCGGAGCAGCTGCAGCATCAGCGGGGGGCAGCGCGGAGGGGCACGGGCCGGGGCCGGGGTCGGGGTCGGTGCCCAGGTGAGTGCCCGGGGGTTCGCTCCGCTCGGTGTCCAGGTGAGCGGTGCCCGGGGGGACGCTCCGCTCGGTGTCCAGGTGAGCGGTGCCCGGGGGGACGCTCCGCTCGGTGCCCAGGTGAGTGCCCGGGTGGAAGCGCTGCCCAGGCGGAGCAGGGCGAAGGCGCAGAGCGCCAGCGCGGGCACGGAGCGGAACGGGACCCGCATGTCTGCCCGGGCCACCCGCAGCCGCCCTATTTGTACAGCGGCCCCGAGCGCCGCCCCGGCAGCCCCCTCCCCACAGCCCCCTCCCCTCTTCTCCCCGTCCCTCTTCCCATCCCTCCGTCCCTATCTCTGTGCTCCCTCCCCTCCGCCCCCATCTACCTCCCGGCCATCCCTCCCCGTTCCCTTGCCCTCGTCCCCCGTCCTGCTCTTTCTCCGTCTGTCCTTCTCCCCATCCTTCCCCCGCTGCCTCCAGCCTTATCCATCCATCCATCCATCCATCCATCCATCCATCCATCCCTTCATCCTTGTCTCATCCCTGCATTCCCCCAGTTCTCCTTCTCCCCGTCCGTCTGTCCCTCCGTCCCCACCACCCCTCTCTGTCCCTCTGTCCCTGTGGCCGGTGGTTGGGGTCGGCTACCCCTGCTCTGTGCGATGTCACCGCTGTCCCCAGAGCCCAGGGACGAGCGGCCCGGGCACATCCCAGCCCGGTTAGTCCCGCCGCGCTCCTCGGCGAGCGGAGCAGCACCGGGGGCACCCCTGGCCCCCACTCTCCGTGGCGGGGCATCCAGAGAGGCCACACTCGTCCATCCCGGGGGGAAATACGCTCATTCCTCCCACGGGGCACCGGGACCCTCTCCCGGTTCAGCCCCCGCTGTCAGCCCCGCTCCGGTGACGTCACGGCCGCTCAGAGTGACGTCACACATCCCCGCGGCGCGCTCCCGGCGGCCGCCAGCAGGGGGCGCGCTCCCTCCGCCCCAAATCTCGCGAGATCCCCGCGCTTCTCGCGGCAGCGGCGCGAACATGGCGGCGGCAGCGGCGGCTGAGGGAACCGAGCCCCCCCCGGAGCCGCCCCCGGCCCCGGAGCCCCCGGCGCCGCCAGAGCCGCCCGCCACCGACGCCGAGACCGGGTATGTCCCTCCCTGGCTGTCCCGTGGGAGCCCTGCGCTGCCCGGGCTCGGCGGAACCTGGCCCCGTTACCATGGGAACGCGGATGGGGGGCTCGGCACTCCGGGGCTCCCTCAGCCCCAGCCCCGCCAGGTCCCGGGTCCCGGCCCTCCGGGGCTCCCTCAGCCCCAGGCCCCGGGTCCCGGCCCTCCGGGGCTCCCTCAGCCCCAATCCCGCTATGCCCCGGGTCCCGGGGTTCCCTCAGCCCCAGTCCCGCCCGGCCCCGGGTCCCGGCCGTGCCCCGGAGCGCCGGTGCGGGCCCCGCTCTGATCTCTGTGCCCTGGCAGGGGGGACGCCGCCATGGTCGATGCCAGCGCGGCCCTGGAGACCGAGTCGGCCAACGGGAAGGAGCCGCTGGTAGGTGCCGGTGCCGTGGGCACGGAGGGGTTGGTGCAGCCAGGGGTGGAGCATCCCTTAGCGCCAGCTTGGGATTTGTTGTCTTTGCTTCCTTAAAGGGTTATTTTGGAAGTTAAATCTCCAGCCATGTGGAGCCAAAACCAGCTCCAGGCTGCAGGGCCGTGGGTTAGGGGGAAGGATTTATTCCCTCTCAGATTCCTGCCTGCCCCGGGCACTGTTGGATTCCTGGCTCTGCTCCGCTTGCAGGACGCAGCCGGGGATGGCGCTGAAGCCATGGATGCCCAGGGCGGCTCCGGGGACGAGGAGAACGCGCGGCAGCTGGGCGAGATCGAGCTGCAGTGTGGCATCTGCACCAAGTGGTTCACAGCTGACACCTTCGGCATCGACACCACGTAGGTGATGGCTGGGAAGGCCAGCACGGGGCTTTAAAATGGAGTGTTTGGAGTCTGAGCTCCCAAGGACCTGCCCGTGTCCTTGAATAGTTGGTGTGTTGTGTAAATAAAGCTTTGTGATAAAGGCACCCCCATGAAATACCACTGTTAGCAGTCTGTGCTTTTAGGGAGGGAAGGAATACTTGGAATAATTACTTTCTTAACCCGGTGTAGTAAAGAATAATTAATTTTCTTTCATTCCAAGAAGAACATTGAGGGGCTAGAGCATGGAGAAAAGGGAAGGGAATGGAGCTGGGAAGGGGCTGGAGCACCAGGAGGGGCTGAGGGAGCTGGAAAAAGGCTGAGCCTGGAGAAAAGGAGGCTCAGGGGGGACCTTGTGGGTTGGGTTTTAACCTGGAATATTTGCTTTTTAACGTGGAATAATTAGCTTCTTAACCCATTGTAGTAAAGAATAATTAATTTCTTTCGCTCCAAGAAGAACATTGAGGGGCTAGAGCATGGAGAAAAGGGAAGGGAATGGAGCTGGGAAGGGGCTGGAGCACCAGGAGGGGCTGAGGGAGCTGGAAAGAGGCTGAGCCTGGAGAAAAGGAGGCTGAGGAGGGACTTTGTGGCTTGGCTTTAACCTGGAATAATTACTTTCTTAACCCAGTGTAGTAAAGAACAATTAATTTTCTTTCACTCCAAGAAGAACATTGAGGAGCTGGAGCCTGTCCAGGGAAGGGAATGGAGCTGGGAGGGGTTTGGAGCACCAGGAGGGGCTGAGGGAGTTGGGAAGGGGCTCAGCTTGGAGAAAAGGAGGCTCAGGGGGGGTCCCAGGGAACAGGGACAGGAGCAGGGGAGGTGTCCAAGGAAGGGCTGGAGGTGGCACTGAGTGCTCTGGGCTGGGGACAAGGTGAGGATCAGGCACAGACTGGACTCAGAGGGCCTTTCCAGCCTCACAGATTGTGGGATTCTTGAGCCTGATGCAATAATTGCACTGTACCCAGCCCTAACAAAGCTGATTTTCCCCCAGGTCGTGTCTGCCCTTCATGACCAACTACAGCTTCCACTGCAACGTGTGCCACCACAGTGGGAACACCTATTTCCTGAGGAAACAAGCCAGTGAGTTTGGGAACAGCTCCTTGGCAGATGTTTTGTGCAGGATCATCCTGGAGGCTTGGTTTTGTCTGAAATCAGTGGGTGGGCTCTGCTGAGACTTGTGGAAAATGACCCAAAATCCCATATTTACAACCATGTGTGGCTCCTAAAAACGTTTTGCTAGTGATTTATGAAGGTGTGTAACTGGTTCAGGACAGAATTTGGGAGGTTTTGTAGTTTCTCAGGGTGATCACTATGTCTGGGTGTCTGATTTTTCCCCCCCAAGTGTAATTGGGGTGTTTTGTTTGTCAGATCTGAAGGAAATGTGCCTTAGTGCTCTGGCCAACCTGACGTGGCAGTCGAGGACCCAGGATGAGCACCCCAAAACAATGTTCTCCAAGGATAAGGTCTGGTTCTTTGGGACCTCACAGCACTGGTGGTGTCAGCCAGCAAGAGGAGGAGCTCCCACAAATGTTTTCTGTTCCTACAGGACATTATCCCCTTTATTGATAAATACTGGGAGTGTATGACAACACGGCAGAGGCCTGGCAAAATGACTTGGCCCAATAATATTGTCAAAACCATGGTAAGGATTGAGGGGAGATCTGTGGGTTTGTGTTTCTGACATCTGGGCTTGGAGCAGCTGATGTATCATTAATAGGAACTACTGGGGTTTAAAAATTGTTAATGAATTTGTTGTGATCTTACCCTGTTTAATTTAATTAAAACTCCTCTGTTTTAGTGTAAAGAAAGAGATGTGTTCCTGGTCAAAGAGCATCCAGACCCAGGCAGCAAAGACCCAGAGGAAGATTATCCCAAATTTGGGCTTCTGGATCAGGTATGGGAGGGGAGGCAGGAGGAAGGTGGGGGTCCCACTGATTCCTTTCTGCAGATCCTGGGTGGGTGGGAGCCCCAGCAGGCTCTGAGTGTTCCCCTTGATCTCCTGCAGGATCTTGCCAATATTGGTCCAGCCTATGACAACCAGAAACAGAACAATGCCGTGTCCACAAGTGGAAGCTTAAATGGCAAGTTCTTTACTTGGGGGGGTTTGGGTATTTGGGACTAAGCTGCATTTTCAGTGCAGTTAAACTGTCCTGTGAACTGAGCTTGTGCTCAGAACTGTGCCTTTTTATAGAAAGATTAACTTTGTGTCTTGGGGAGGTTCAGCCCTTTCTTTGCTCTCACCAGATAAATCAAGGTGCTCGCTGAAGGCTGAGCTTGTCACTTTGTTCCTAGAATGGTTTTAAATTTCCTCCTTGACTTATTCAGATTTCCTGTTTCCCATCTTGCTGAGGGCACTCAGGGAAGCCTTGCTGCAGTAAATGAACTGTTAATGACTTTATGTATTAATAATCTTTATTAAACACATCCCAGTAGTGCAGAGAGGGATTTGGGTCTTTTTAAAGCAGGTTAGAGATATCTCAGGTGTGTTGTTTCCATGTCATGCACTGGTTGTTTTTTGTTCCATTTCTGGGAGACTGACAAACATGTGCTGCCACTTCTGTTCTTGCAGGTGGAGCCTCTCTGGGAGGTAAATATTTACCTTTCAGCTTCTAAAACTTAAGTATTGCTGTTTGCAAAGCTTTTCTTGCTCGATTCTCTTAGAAGCCAAAGTCAATCAAAAATGAAAGCGTGCCCTGATGTGATTGCAGTTGGACTTCAATACAAACCAGCGATTCCAGTCTTTAATCTCAGTAGTTAGAAGCTTTTAATTGCCATATTCTGCCCTACTTGACTGATTTAAAGATTTTGTTTATTTATTTTACACTTATGTTTATTTTTTCTGTATCAATTGACCTGATGTTGTAGTTTTAATGCTTAAACAATTGGTCTGAAATTTACAGTGCAATGGTTTGTTGGGCAATAATTGGTTTTTTGGGCAAGGCTGACAAACTGGAGAGCCTGAATGTTTGTCTGCACTGAAATCAGGGAGTGCAGCTGGATCAGGTCATGTTTGTGCAGAATATGG